ATCACTATATCATCAGCAAATTGGAGTAAAGACACTTCCAACCCCCTTATGCCAATTGGTATTCCATGGAACGCACCCACAGTCTCTGCCTTATTTACCAAACCATGTAACCCTTCACCAATCATCAAAAAAAGAAACGGAGATAGCGGATCCCCTTGTCGTAATCCTTTCCCCATCTTAAACTCCTCCGTTGGGCTCCCGTTCACCAGAATTGAAAGCCTTGCTGTCGAAAGACATTCTTTTATCCATCCTCGCCATTTATCGCCAAAGCCAAAACTACCCATCATCCAGTCTAGAAACTCCCAATCAACACAATCATAAGCTTTTTCAAAATCTGCTTTAAACACAAAGGCTTGCCTCTTCATCTTCTTCACCTCATCCACTACTTCATTTAAAACTAAGACACTATCAACCGGTTGCCGACCCCCCAAGAATGCAGATTGAGTATCACTTATTATTTCTGGCATAACTGTCTTTAGTCTATGCGATATTACCTTAGCCAGCAGCTTATACACACACCCAATCAAACTTATAGGTTTATAGTCCTTCAGCTCAGTTGGACTCAACTTCTTTGGAATAAGAGTTAAAAAAGAGGAATTCAGCCCTCCCACTAACCTGCCATTCTAATGAAATTCCTTAAAAAAGCTCACAAAGTCCTCCTTTATGCTATGCCAGACACACTTGAGGAAGTTAAAGTTGTACCCATCTGGCCCTGGAGCTTTAGTTCCTTCACAGCTCCTCAAAGCTTCTTCAATTTCCTCCTCTGAAAATGGTCTTTCTAGCCACTCCTTCCTCTCTGTGGAAATCTGCTTAAATTGTATTCCAGCGGGCCTGGGACGTTTCCAATCTTCTCCTTGAAACAACTTTCGAAAATATGTTTCAACTTCTTTTTTTACCAAAGTTGGCTCCTCCACCCATCTACCATCACACATCAGACCTGAAATGCTATTTTGAGCCCTTCTACCATTTGCCATTCTATGGAAAAATCTTGTGTTTGCATCACCCAGCTGCACCCAATTGCTTCTTGCTTTTTGCCTCCATATGGCTTCCCTCTTCCTCATGACAGCCCACATTTCTTGAAATCCCTCTTGTCTCTCTTCCAACTCAAAATCTTCCAACACACCCTCCTCATTCTTCATATCAACATGCTCCACCTTTTTGGCTGCGTTGTTAAATTGAGCTTCCATATCCCCAAACACTTCACAATTCCAACCTTTTAAGAACTCTTTCAACATTTTTAGCTTCTGTTTGCATCTATATCCTGCAAACCCTTCCACTTGAAGCTCCTTCCACTTATCTTCTACAACGTTCTTGAATTCCAGATGTTGCTGCCAAGCATCCAATACCCTAAATGGTTTAGGCCCCCAATCTGTTATCTTGGTCTTTATAATTATGGCACAATGGTCTGATATAGTTCTTCTTAACCCATGTTGCACCCATTCACCACCCATATTAAACATCTCTTCAGTCATCAATACTCTATCCAGCCTACTCATGGAAGAGCCGTCCGATCTATACCATGTGAACCGGCGATTAGCCAACCTGATATCAACCAACCCAGTTGTCTCAATAAATGCATTGAAATCCCTCATCTCGACATTCTCCCCTGTTCTTCCTCTTTTTTCCTCAAGGTATCTTACAGCATTAAAATCCCCCGCCAGCAACCATCTCCCTCCCTTTTCTATAATCACTTTCTGTAACTCCTCCCACACCTCCACCTTCTTCCTTTTGTCATTCGAAGCATACACATTCACAAAATAACATTGTAGCTTGCTCACACCCCATTCCCCTACCACCCCCAAAAAACCGTCACCCACAAATTCTTCCTTTTTTGTAAATTGTAGCTTATCCCATACACACACCATACCTCCCGAAGCACCTGATGACCCCTTCATGACCCAATCGAAGCCATCTGAGTTCCACAACATTCTACATAGATTACCGTCTGCCTTCTCGAGTTTAGTTTCCTGCAAAAATAGGAAATCTGGTCTTTCCGCTTTTACCAGCTTCCCCACCTCTTTCTTCTTCAATATTCCCCCCAAACCCCTAACATTAAAAGATAAAATCTTCATTCAAAAAAGACAACACCCGCAACACCCATCAGCTCCTACCTTCGTACTTCCTTCCCAAATATTATATAATATTATAAATATATCATTTCTATTTACAAACATGTTTATGCGAATCACTTAACCCTTGGTATAGCTAAGTTTGAAAATAATTTTTTTATGGAAAATAAAAAAAATATACTAAGTAATCACTAGCTTGAAAATCAAGCTTTTCACGCAAACCATAGTCGACCTTACGAACAACATCCTTTTCTTTTGGCAATCAACTAATTGATTGAAAACTAGTGTGAATCAAATTCACCAAATTCAACTCTCGCCAATATCCCATCAAAAGGGATGTACCAAAGTAGGATTTTTGCTCTTTAAATAGGAGAAATCTATTTTACTGACAAGATCAATTTTAATTATAATTTTCAAAAATTAACATACATAAATTTTAAAAAACTCAAAAAATCATTATCTTGTAATCTTTTAAATTGGAGTTTTCAAAGCAAAACAACGATAAGATGAAGGAGGAGATTAAGGGAAGGAAAAGAGGGGTAAAAAAAAAAAAAAAGAGACGAAGGAACTCTTCTGTCAAAAAAAAAAAACCTTAAAAAGAAAAGCTCACCACTACTACTTTTATACTTAGAAGTAGTGCACAGAAGAAACAAAAAAATATGGTTCGATAATTAATTTTTTTAAATGGTACTTAAAATAAAAGTGATATCGATCGACGAGAGTGACATTTTGACAAAGTATATTAAGAAAAGACAGAAAGTAGATACCATGAATCCAACCACTTAGAAATTTCCAATTGAATGGACTGGATTAGCACATTCTAGGTCCATTTCTTGTAATTGGGTCCTTCCTACAACTTCATTTTCAACCATTCGAGACAAACGGTCAAGTCAAATAACAGAGAGATAAAGGCAAGGGTGAGCCATTGCTAGCTCATTGCCGATTTTCTTCATTCCGACGTAATGTAAATTCAGAAGATGACGTACAAAACATAATCAATGAAAGCCAATTGCCAGGGCATTGCCTATTTTCCAAAAAAAGAAAAAGAACAAAAAAATTGCTAGGTAACCCCAAATCCTGCGGAACCCAACGAAGGAAGCCCCTACTAAT